TTATGCAAAAGAGCATTTAAATGGAGCTGCAGAGAGACGGTTTGGACCTCCTCCCACCGAGTGTATTAGGTCAATGTTACCTAACTACTAAATAAAAACATGTTCTGCACTATCTTTAAAATATTGATTTCTTAATTTTGGGGTGGAAGAGTGGGGGTCGTCTTGTACATGGGGGTGTCTTATTGATGGAAAAATACGGTACTTAGATGCACATTGCAATGCGGACCGACAAGAGCAAGCTGTCAGACGTGACAGCTTGACCAAGTGGTCCCGACCCTTTAGGTGCAATCCTTTTTATCCTTAAAAACCGCAAACCACAATCATGACTCTCAGGATTTGCAACTGAATCACTACGTCCCCAGAGCTACTTTTACCACACTTCCCTGTTCCCTTTGTCCTTGTCACGTCCTTTCCCATCAACAAGTTTGCTTATTTAACAGTTTGCTTAGTTTTGCAAGTTTTACTTATTTCCTATCATTGCCCCAAAGGTCATTTCTAAGCTAGCCTTTGCTTTTATTAAATGTGATTACAAAATATCTATCTTAAAATAAGTTTCAGGCCACGAGCATTTTTCCTCTCACAGTCTGCACATAGGCAGCGCTAATTCGGGCTGAATGTGAACTAATAATGGCGTATCTCTGAGCATATACAGATTTCTTTTCATCGGAACCATGGAAGTTGCCTTCTTCCTGTGGGGTGTTGTGGTGAAGGGGTTGAGTAGGACCGCAGAGACAGAGCTTCGAGCCCACCCTCGGCTATGAAGTCCCTGGCTGTTGGGGCTGTTGCTTGTGCTCCTCCGGGCTACCTCAAAGGGCTGTGGTGGTGCTAGAATGGAGAGAGCAAGTGCTACATATACTGCTTTATATACTTTATTTTATATATTATTTGCTCCTCATTTCTCTGGTCTGGACCGTATCTGGAAGCACAGGGCGGAGCGAGCCAAGGGAGGGGAGGGGGAAGGCAGGCCTTGTGCCAATGGGCCTTCAGAGGCTGAGCCACAGGCACTTAGATCTCCCCCTCCCCTCCCCTCCCCTCCCCTCCAGGGTTGCTGGGAACGACTGGACCCCTTTATCCCAGACCCGCGAGAATGGAGCGCTGTGCGGATTGAAGACTATGGATATGCCCGCATGCAGATTGTCAACAAGACTCACCTCTGGCTGGAGCAGGTCTCGGACGATCAGGTAGGAGCTGCTTCTGCAAACAGCAGTCCTGGATCCCCGACTTTGCTCTGTCTGGCTTCAGCTTCCACCCACGTTGGTAATAGCTTGTCACCGGGTGCTGGAGACCCCACTGCAGAATCCGGGTGAGAAGCAGCCTTGTACATCTGAGCTCGTGTGTGACCTTCTCCCCTTCCTGTGTGGTCAGAGGTGGCCAACCTTGGCCTGCTGTCGCATCACATCTCCCAAGGGCCAACCTTTGCTTTTGCTTTTCAGAATGGGAAGGTCGTGGATAAGATTTGGCTGATCAAAGACCGGCACGGTCCAAGGGGCTGGCGCTATCCCTCTCTGCTGGAAGCCCCGAGAAGACATCGTAGGCCCAGCGGCTTTGCTTGCAAGCTGGCACCGCGTTCTCTGGCTCAAATACGGAGCTCCTTTTCCCGTCTGCGGAGGGGCGACACGTAGAAAAAAGGGGGGGAGCTTCAGTGATGTGCCTGCAGCTGCCCTCCTGCCTGTCTTGATGCCCCCTCCAGACCCGTCCGTCTGTCCATCCTGAGTGTAGGGTCAGCTTGCGAGAGAAATGATGCATCCTCACGTCCCTGGTGCAAGTTGGGTGCTGAGGCGGAGCGTCTTAGCACCGACGGGAATCTGCTTTCTGCCTGCCATGCTCGCATCTTCTACTGCAAAGCAGATGAATCTCTCCTTCTTACTTCGCCCCTTTCCGCCTCTTCCTCTCAGGCAGCTCTTTAACGGATCCGGTTCAGCTCTCCAACGCGAGTGCGACCCTCGGAGAGCCAAAAGGAGACCGAAGGTGAAATGCGCAGAGCCGGGCGGCCTGCGGGAGCCTTCCCGATGGCTCCGAGGCAGCTTTCCCTGCTCCGGAGGCTTTGGGCACGACTCCCGCGATCATCAGACCGTAACGGTAGACGCCCAAAGGGTTGTGGCCCAAAGCCCCGGAGGACGGCGGCCGGACCGGCCGAGGGTGTCGCGGGGCAGTGGGAGCTCCGGGCCGCAGAGCCGCGGGATGCTAAGCTGTATGGAGCGGCACGGCTTGATTTTCGGCAAATGATTGATTGACTGACTGACTGACTGATTGATTGATTGATTGAATAAAAGAAGCAAGAGAAGGCAGGAAAAAGCGCGTTTATTTGGAGTCGAACTTCCCAGACGGTTATTTTTATAGACGTCCCTCAGGCCGGCGGAGGATGAAACCGGCTGTGCGGGAAACCGTCGGCCGCGCCTCGTGGGCAG